TGAATTTTACTAAAAAGGCCACGAACTTTTTCCCAGACCCAATATTTAAAATAATGAAATTTATGCAACAAAAATTAAATATTTCAACCTGCTAAAAAGTTTACGGTCCAAAACGGTCCAAAATATGCAATACACCAACTGATTGCGGAAAGCGTCTACTTTAAAAAACCTATATTACCCCCCCTCTCCCAGGTCCCCCTTTCATTAAAAAATTGCATTGAAATATTGAAGGCTGCGCAGGCAACTTCGCCGCGTTGATGGTTTCGTTTGGTTGAAGAAGCTCATAATATACGACGCCCTTAAAATCCAACCAGATACTCAGAAGAACCTTTTTCGCGCGAAGCCCCGGCTTGGCCACTGTTTGCGTAGACGCGTCGCTGGTTCCCCACGACCTCTTGCGGCTAACATAATTGTTTAGGATCCAACTTTCATCGCCTATTATGATCCTCTTCAAGAACGGTTCTTTTTGGTGCCGTTGAAGCAGCATATCGCAGACTTTCACGTTCACACGTTCCAGCAACTGCCGTTCATTCATTTCGTGCGGCACCCACACATCTAGTCGACTTGAGAATCCTAGCTTCTTCAGATGGTCATGCACGGTGGAAACAGACTTGTGCAGAGTGTCGGCGAGTTCTCTAACTGTCACTCGAGGATTTTCGTGCACGATCCATAAGAAGCGTTTCATCAACCTCCTGCGGCCGGCCTGAGCGAGCTTGATCTTCCATGTTGAAATCGCCAGCTTCGAATCTTCGATACCATTTTCGAACTGTCTGGTGAGTGACACAGGCATCTCCATATACTGAGAACATCTCATTCAGGGTCTGCAAAGCCGTGAAGCCACGTTTAAAGCAATATAGCATCACATGACGAAAATGGACTTTTTGGTTCTCCATTTTTCAAACTGATTTCTGACGAAATAGTTGCACTTAGGAAGATCTGCGAAGTTTCCTTAGCGGGCTCATAGATCCGGGAATGTTTGTTGACAAACATAAAATCGTTTAGAGCGCCCTCGTTCTTACTGATTACATAGAAATGTGGAGTGCGCGAAATTTGAAACGAACTTCCCGAACAACCTAATATATAATAACATGATGTGAATCCCTTACTCCTTACATTTCTGGGATACATATATCAATAAAACTATTATACTCCTGGAATATATATTTCAGTGGAAATTATTTTTATTCGTTAAGATCTATATCGTTATCATTCAACTCAAAGAAATTTTTAGCATGTTCAGAGAGTTCTTTTTTATCTTACTCTCAATAAATTTCCATGATGACGAAATAATAGGATCAATTGTAATTAATAAATAATAAAAATATCTATTTTATTATATTATTATGAAATTCTCTGATAATTATTTTCTTGATATTTACTGAAACCTTTCCCTTTTAAAGTATCTTCAGATAGCTGACCAATTGGTGCGCCGCCCACCCCGTCGCAGGAAGCGACGGAGGAGGCAGCGCTCCCCAGGGGTGGGGAGCGGGCCCGAGGTGGCGCCGGCCGACGAGGAGAGGCCTCCGGCTCGCCGGAAGCCGCCTCTTCGGCCGCCTCGGCGACGCAGTGGGGGGTGCAAGGAGGGCTAGACCTTCCCACCCGCATAGCGCGTCGGTGAGGACAGGGAGAAGAGGAGTGGGGCTTAGTTGGGATCAGGCCTCATTCCCCCTGCCCCCCTACTCACCCAGTAGGGAAGGGGGAAGGCGAGGCAAGGACGGGGGCGGGTGTGTCCCCTCCTTAATTTAAACCGGAAGGCCAACCCTGCCGGATAACCGGCCGGGGCGCCGCCCCCATAACTCCCAAAAGGGAGGAGCGCGACACTTGGGCGTGGGATTCCATGAGAGCCCTGAGGCCGGGGTGTCGGGGAGGGAATGCAGGCGTAGTTCCCCTGACTCCCCCCATTTCGGTTCGAGCGATAGGCATCCCGCAGGAGTGTTAATCGGTAGGGGTCCGACATATCCCCCGCTCTCCCCAAAGGGGCAGGAGTATCCATGACGGATTTCCCCTGCGTGATAAAAAAAAGAAGCTGACCAATTGGTATTATCGTATGTTCAATTATATATTCTCTATGGGGAAAAAGATGAATAAAAACTGGCATATAATATCACGGGAAGAAAAATAAATATTCTGCAATTTAAAAAGCAAAAACTGTGACTTTGGATGTATTCAAATGTTTTATAAAATGTGATATTTTGTACTGCAATTCTCCAAACGCGCTCTGAGGTAAGTGAATGTTTAGATCTTTCGTTATCAAACGAGTTAAATTTTTATAATCGGAGATATCTAGATTATTTTTTCGCTTACAGATTGATTTCCATTAATTTAAAATTTTTAATGCTTTCAAATTTACATTTTTTTTGACAATTGAAAAAATGGTGTTTAATTGCAAGCAAAAACTTTCTTCTAACAAAACTTATATTTCAAGCGATCTGCAAGTTGCTAATATTATTGCACGTAAATGTTAATGTCAGAAAGCGAGAAATACTCTGCGATATGTTCATAAGAACGGATGAAGGCAGCCGAATAGCTGAAGCACTAAGCGGACATATATATGATTTCTTTGTGTGTGTGTGTGTGTGTATCCTCTACTTATCTATTGATGCGTTCGAGTCAGGTCTCACTGATATTCAATACATGTCGCGGAGCTTTTCTCGCTTCTCAACGTCAAGAGTATTCTGAGATTAACATGCAATAGTATATTACATCCTGCAGGTTGTTGGGAATATAATTTTTCCTTGGAGAAAATTTTTGACTGTAATCAAAAACCATTTTTCCTCAACTTTTGAAAAAAAATGATTTTGCAAATTTGGAAACATGACAAATATAACAAATGGGAATCTATTTACCATTATACGAGAAAATAATTTAGATATTTCCGATCATAAAGTTTAACTCGTTCGATTACAGAAATCTTAATATTCATTTACCTCCAACTATGTTTGAAGAATTGCAATACAAAGTTTCAAATTTTATAAAACATTTGAAATCGAGATGGTTGCGTAATAATTATGATAATGTGAAATTTATGAAACATAATAAGGTGTGATTCAGTAAAGAATTTGGAATTCCAAAGAATGTATCACACCTGATTCCTGATTCGCATACATCACTTATACTTCCAAATACATAAAAATCTTTTGAGGAATTAAGTGAAAGACAAAAACGGAGAAGAACACAGGAAATAAGAAATAACCCTGAAATGATAGATTTTATTGTAGAAAAATAACTGAAATGAGACGATGTAAAATTCATAATATATGATTTCATTCAAAAACATCCAGAACATATAAAACAAGTGAGACAATTCTGTGAAGAAATTAATAATAAAAGTATACCAGTCAATAAAACGACTGCATTAGCTACATTTGTCTCTGCAAAATTAACTCGACAATCATATAATATTGGGTTAAGTAAAAAGTTTTGAGCGTTTTCCACTAGATGGCTTTAGTGAGGTCATATCTCACGATGTATACGTCGCATCTGGTCATTCTATACTTTCTTTTTTTTTTAGACGAGGAGGAAATCCATCATGGATACCCTGACCCTCGGGGAAGAGCCAGGGTTATGCTGGACTTCTACTGGCTAAAACCTCCCCGGGTGGCGCTGCGAAGGGACTGGCATCGGGGCCCCGGAGCCGCGTAACTGCTAGTCAGGGCCCCGAGTCCAGGTGTGACACCATCTGTCCCCGAGGGATGGGGTGGGGGAGGGGGGAAGCGAGCCGAGGCTCACTTCACCGCTCCCCCAGGGGAGAGGGGAAGCCAGCCCGAAGGCTCGCTTCGACCACCGCTCCCCTTTCCCATACCTCATGCCTCGTCTCTTCGGTCAGGAAGGGGGAAGCCGGCCGAAGCCCGCTTCAACCATCGTTCCTGACCAGACGAGGCGGCGCCAATACATGTTGTGCGGCCGGCTGATCCACCTTCTCAGCCGGTCGCCCTACGTTGGAGGGTTGGTTGGGGCACCGGGAGTCCCCGCCCGGTGCCCCACCCTCCCGCCCGGCGGTTACGGGGGGAAAATATCCCCTAGCCGCCGGGCACTCCCACCTCCGTAGAGGAATGGGGAGGGGTCCTAGCGACCCCTTCCTGCATGTCCGTCCGTTCGACGGACCTTGCAGACGGGGAGAGGTGTTTTACCCAGTGATGACAACATCACTGACATCCTCTCCCCCCTTAATATCATCCGATTCCCACGTGAGGAGTCGGAGGACTACGGTTGGGGGGTCGGGGCCGAAGTCCCGCCCTCCTCCCAGTTCTTCCATCCGTAGGTGTCACCGTGGGGGTGGCGGGTAACGACGCGGCAGTCGTCGTCACGACCTCACTTCCCGCGGTTCTCTGTCTCCTTATACTTGCCCTGTAGAGGGCATCACGCCTCCTCGGGGCCCTTCCCCTGATCAGCGTCGGAGGAAGGGCAGGAGGGGGAGGGAGGAGGTGGTGGTGGACCCACCATCCTCCTAAGTGCGTCCTCCTCCGAAGAGTCCGCATCCCCCTCCCTGCTCCTGCTCCTCCCTCCTCTCCACTGACGGTGTCTCTCCCTTCTCCATCTTTTCCTTCCCCTGCCTTCTGCCCTACGTTGCACTTCATCTGCCTCCTCCTTCTGCGTCATGACTGAGTCGCAGAAGGAGGAGAATGCGTCTCACTTCTTCTCGCTTTCCAGTATTACCTCGATGTTCACTGGGAGCGAGAGGTCGCGGCCTACTGCCCGGACCATGACTCCGCGCTCAACGCTCCAGGCGGGGCAGTCCTAGAGCGTGTGTTGCGCGGAGTCATGGTCATGTCCGCAATGGTGGCAGGGTGTCGTGCGCTCCTTATCTATTCGGCACAGGTACTCACCGAAGCAACCATGCTCGGTGAGTACCTGTGCCATCCTGAATGTCAGGGTCCTATGGGCCCTTCCTACCCATTCTTGTAGGAAGGGCCGGACGGCCTCGATGGTCCTCCTCCCGTATCTGGCGTTGGCCAGGAATTTCCGTTATCTTTGGAGGAGGACCTGTCGAGCCTGGTGCTTCATATTCCTGAGAGCCCTGGCGAGCGGTTCACCTGCCCCTCTGTGCGTAGGAGCTCACGCTTCCCGTCGTACGTGTTGCGATACGACAGGGCCATGAGCTCCATAGGGGGCATGCTCGCCAGGATCGTCGCCGCTACGCCAGACACGCTGCGGTAGCACCTTGTTATCCTGACCGCCAGCACCCTCTGCACTTTGCGCAATTGCGCTTGAATCGGGCGACTGGCGGCCAGGGCTTCCGCCCATACTGGCGCTCCGTAGAGCGCCACAGAATTCAAAATTCTTGCGTAGAGGCGACGAGCCTTCCTGTCTGGTTCCCCGACATTGGGCATTAGTCCGCCTAGTCTGGCGGACACTACCCTTAGTCGGGGGATCAGCCTATTAATATGCTCTCTGAAGCACCAGGTGCCGTCCATTATGAGGCCCAGATATCTCATCTGGGCCTCTAATGGGACCCTGATCGTGCCTATCCGGGCGTGGGATGGCTTCCTTCCCTTGGCATGAAAGAACATGGCCTCTGTTTTCCTTTCAGCCACCACCAAGCCCAGGTTGCGGATGGCGCGCACGACTCCTGCCACCGCTAGGTTAGCCGTATGTACGGCATCCTCCCAGTCTTTCCCCCCGGCCAAGACGAGAGTATCGTCGGCGTAGCACACAATGCTACAGCCGGGGGGAGGGTTGTCCGGAGGACTGAGTCATAGCCGAGGTTCCACAGTAATGGGCCTAACACCGAGCCCTGTGGAACCCCGCAACTCATTCCCCTCTCGCGTACCCCGCCGTCCATTCAGGTGAGACGCCGACCCCGGAAGTAATCCTCAACGACGGCCGTGAGGTAGGGTGGGAAGCGGAAATAATCCCGCATCGCCTGCACCACTCTACCCCAGGGTAGGGTGTTGAATGCATTTGCGATATCAAGTGATATCGCTACCGCCACTCTGCCCTCCGTCACAATGGCCTCCGAGAGGGACATTAGATGCAATATTGCATCTATCGTTGATCTACCCTCTCGGAAGCCATATTGGCCGTCGTTGAGATTTGGACCTTCCTGGGACATATGCCTCTGAAGGCGGGCAGCTATTACTCGCTTAAAGAACTTACCCGCCTCATCTAAGAGGCATATGGGCCGGTACGCGGAGGGGGGTGTACTCCGGCTTGCTCTCTTTTCGGAGGAGGACCACGTTGGCCTTCCCCCAGACTGGGGGAACCTTCTCTCTTTGAATGCCCGCGTGAACAAGCTAGCGAACCTCTGATTCATAAACCCTGAGGCCAGGGTGAGTACTCGGCCGGGGATGCCACCCGGTCCTGAAGCCTTTCGGCTCTTGACCTTCTTGACAGCCACGGCCACCTCCTCCACTGTGACTCCCGGTACCTCCTCCTGCAGTTGGAGGGGTGGAAAGGTGTACGGTTTGACGGGGTCGTCCTCCCTGGTCGGGAAGATGGTCCCTATCACCCGTCCGAGGAACCGGGGGTCAAACGTCACCGTCAAAGGGGGCGTCCATAGTTTCAGCTTCTGCATCACCATTCTATATGGACGCCCCCACGGATCCGTATCCAACGAGAGGAGGAGGTCATCCCACCCTCTTCCTCTGGCCGCCCCTATGGCTTCTCTGAGCTCTACTGCTGCCTTGCAGAATTCCTGCCGGGCGGCCAGAGTGGCCTCAGGGTCCGGGTTCAGCCTGTTCGCTCCCTGCGAAACGCCCGCCTGCAGTTGACCGACCTGCGCCTCAGCGTAGCGATGTGGCTGGACCACCACCAGGCGAACCGCTTTGGGCAGGACCTGACTCTGGGCATGGAGGCGTCGCACGCCTGTGCGAGTATGTCCATTACCTCCATGACCTCAGAGTCAAGGTCCTGCCCGTCCCTTTGTAACGCCTGTGCATCCGGGTTCGCTTTTTTTCTATCGTCGATCCGGCCCCTGCGTCGCGATCGTCATTAGCGAATCGTGAGCAGAAGTTTTATTAGGAGAAGGTGATCGGAGTGAATAATTAAAGCCTGTCGGTGTTGTTGACAGAGACGCTTTATTTCTATCGTTTCAGCACGCAATGACCGCGTGTTATTTTCGCGAGGTTCCCCACTGTTTGGGTACCGCTTCAACGCACGTCGTTGTTTCGCTTCGGCTCGTCGTCGGTGCGAACGGCCGTATTCCGTGACGATGGTTCGGTTAGATGCGTGACTGTCGATTCGTTAATAGTAATTATTTTAATACACAGAAGGTACAGCGGATGGGGACGAAGAAACTTGCGGCAGTGTCCGAAATAGCGATTTCGCGCGGGCGTTGTTGCAGACATTACTCGGATTTAAATGCCGAGTCTTTGTTTCTGACTCTCGCTGTACATAAGAACCCGCGCAAAAACGCGTCGCGTCGTGCCGTGTTATCGCTTGTGGTGCGCATACAATAGGTAAGTCGTGCGTCGAGCGTGAGACCTGCGCTTGTTTTCCGTAAATCATCGTAATTACTCGCTTCGCATCGCGTGATTTCCGTTGACGGGAGAGGTTCGCCAGGCCTTACGACTTGATCCCCTGGTCCTACTAGTCGCGGGCGTTAGGCGATTTCTTTTTGTTTGGAGGTCGCGATGCGCTTTGCTGATGGAGTTAAGCCGGGCCGGCCAGTCGGTAGGTATGGGCGACGACTCTTTCTGCTCTTGTATCCTTACGTACTCTGAGTCCTATAGGAAGTAGAGAGGAAGAAATAAAATAAATATATTTATGAGAGCGTTCCGAAGAACACACCGGAGTAACGGCAAACTCGCCGTTCGATCTCTAAATCGCGAAGACGACACACATGAGAGTCGTTCCGGAGAACACACCGGAGCAACGGCAGACTCGCTGTTCGACTTCTAAATCGCAAAAGACGACACAAAAGAAGATCGTTCCGGAGAACACACCGGAATAACGGCAAACTCGCCGTTCGATCTTTATATCGCAAAGACGGTACAAAAGAGAATCGTTCCGGAGAACACACCGGAGTAACGGCAAACTCGCCGTCCGATCTCTATAGCGCAAAGACGGCACAAACGAAGATCGTTCCGGAGAACACACCGGAGTAACGGCAAACACGCCGTTCGATCTTAAAATTTGCAAAAGACGGTACAAAAGACAATCGTTCCGAAGAACACATCGGAGCGACGGCAAACTCGCCGTCCGATCTCTATAGCGCAAAGACGGCTCAAACGAAGATCGTTCCGGAGAACACACCGGAGTAACGGCAAACACGCCGTTCGATCTTTAAATCGCAAAAGACGGTACAAAAGAGAATCGTTCCGGAGAACACACCGGAGCGACGGCAAACTCGCCGTCCGATCTCTATAGCACAAAGAACAAGAAGCAATCGCGGATGCCGACGGCGGCGGCCTGGTAGATTACTTACTCGAAACTCTCAATTCCTGGAGGCGCTCTGAAGATTTTCTGACGGTTATTCCTAGACGCTGAATTTCCTCAGACTCTTCGAAGATTCTCCAAAGACTGCTTGAAGCCTATCTCAAGACTGTCCCAAGACAAGAACTGTCGGGTTTATATATCCGTCATTTTTCGTCTTCGGTTTCATTCGTTTATTAATCCGAATTTGATCGAGATTAATCGTGAGTATATGATGTTTGCCGAGGATCGTTTCAGCGGCGCCGCGAGTTCGGCTCGGTGGCCGATCATTCCCGAACGTTGCTGCCGGGTCTTCGGCTAGCCTCGGGTGAGCGCGTTGAAGGCGCGGTGACAGCGCGGGTCGGGGGGATGCGCGCTCAGCTGACTGCTGCGTTATGTTCCGCGGTAGTCAGCGTAACGATATACAGGGTGCACGATTTATCTGAAGACATTGAAATATCTCGAGAACTATGCATTGGATAAAAAAAAGTGGTTAATGAAAGTTGTTAGTCTCGAAGGGGGACATCCAATGATACTAAACTCGACCTCCCACCCCACCCCCTGGAGGTGGGGGTTGGGGGCAACTTTGAAATCTTAAATGGAAACCCCCTTTTTTATTGCAGATACGGATTCTACGCCACAAAATACATAAATTTTGTTCGAAACATTTCTTTTTATTCGTGATAGATGGCGCTGTAATCGCAAAAAATTATATTTTCCGCAATTCTCCAGAAATGATCATTGGATTGAGAAATAAAAAATACCTGTTCAATATTTTTAAAGAACATAATAAAAGTTATTTTATATATAGTCCCCCCATCCTCTCGGGGTAGGGTGGGTGATAACGTTCAAATCTCAAATGGGGACCCACATTTTTCATTGCAGAATTAGATTGTACGTGAAACTTTTATTGAAACAATTTTTTTCATTCGTGATAGATAGCGTTGAATTTTTCCGAGAAACTACTTTTAACGTTACACAGGAACAACGACGAGGACGTAGTAGTTTTATGTTCCCTTCGGATGCTTTTTTAATGTGAGTGCCCTTGCCTCTCACAGATCGGGGTCCTTTTTTTAATGTGAGTCCCCTTGCCTCTCACTGTTCAATTAATTAGAATAAGTGTTCGAGATTTTTACCTTCAACTTCAATACACTTATTGATCCTTTTTTCAAATGACTGTACACAGGATAGAAGCATATCTGCGGGAGTTTCAGCGCAAGCGTTTCTTATGCGTTCTACCATGTTTTCACGAGTTGTTGGCACTTGTTGATTTAAAAATATTGAACAGGTATTTTTTATTTCTCAATCCAATGATCATTTCTGGAGAATTGCAGAAAATATAATTTTTTGCGATTACAGCGCCATCTATCACGAATAAAAAAAAAGTTTCGAACAAAATTTACGTATTTTGTGACGTAGAATCCGTATCTGCTATAAAAAATGGGGGTTTTCATTTAAGATTTCAAAGTTGCCCCCAACCCCCACCCCCAGGAGGTAGGGTGGGAGGTCGAGTTTGGTATCATTGGATGTCCCCCTTCGAGACTAACAACTTTCATTAACCACTTTTTTTTATCCAATGCATAGTTCTCGAGATATTTCAATGTCTTCAGATAAATCGTGCACCCTATATTCGCCTGTGTGTATCGTTACACCTTTGTCGTGGCCAGGTGGAGCCCTCCAAGGAGATCTCTAGGCTCTCCTTGTTTAACTGGGCCAGGGACGATCTACCGGGTCGGAGTTCCTTCGTTTGGTTGGGCCGCAGGCCATTGGAGGTGACGGACAGCTCTATCTCTATCAAGAGATGATCCGACAGGGTCTCGAGCTCTCCCGCCACCCTTCAGGTCCGTACTCTTCTCAGGGCCGCGGGGGTTGCCCATGATAAGTCAATGACTCCCCCCGCGTCCCCACAAACGTGGATTTATTCCCCTCGTTGAGGATGTGCAGACCGAGGCCCGTGGCCCAATCTATGGTTACCTCCCCCCGCCAGTCACCACGCCGGGAACCCCACAGCTCCGATTTCGCATTGAAATCCCCGGCGACGATGACAGGACCTGAGAGGTGCCTTTTTATTTCCTCTCCCATCTCTTGGAGCCTGGACCTGTACCCAAGTAGGTCCAGGCTCATTGCTGGGGAGAGGTATACCCCGACCACGGTGACTACTCCCCACTTGGCCACGACATATCCCCTGCCGCAACTTACTAATGTTGCGGGGGGGTGAGCTATCACTTGCCCTCCAAACTATAGCGACAGATCCCAAGTCATCCCCAAACCACCTAGGGTGATTTTTGGGGATGTGGTAGGGCTCTGCCGCTATTCCTAATCCTGCACCGTGCTCCGCCATTGTGTGCTCGAACAGTGGTTGAGCCTGACGGGCGCGGTGCAGGTTTCCTTGGAGTAGCCGGGTGTCCATTATTGCTCAATTGGGCTAATAATGACCTTCCCACCCGGCTGGTCTCCCTCATCGCTCTCCGCACTTTCCACCGGACATGGGCGCTTTTCCCCTCTTTTTTCTTCCACCTCCATTTCCTCTCCACTTGTGTAGAGCTTGGGGGAGGGGCCCGTTTTCTCTGAGGGGGTAGGGGTGGGAATACCTGGATCCCACTCTCTTCTTCCTTCTTCGACTCTTTTCCTCCTCTCTTGTTCTTAGGAGGGGCAGGAGGGTCTTGCGGTCTCGGTACGGATAGGCTTTTCCTTCAACAGGGATGGCCCACCCATTCTATGTCCCGCCTGGACTCCTGCTTCTGCACAGATTTGGCATCTGGCTCTAGCCTCGCAGTCCCGAGCCAGGTGTCCAGGCTCACCGCATCTGTAGCAGTTATCCTTCTTGTCAATGTTGTTTGTGCAGTTTTGTTGCACATGTCCCTTTTCCAAACATCTGAAACATTGTAAAGGCCTTCCTTGTAGCAATTCTACTTTTACCTGTGTCCACCCTATGTTCACCGTCCCCTTTTCTGCGACCTTCTTGGCTGCTAGGAGGGGACACTGAATCCAGAGTGACCTGAATCCATTTTGGACTATCCTTATTCGTCCTATCTTCACATCATTAACCTCACAACCTCACAACCTCCTAATTTCGCCACTCCCTCAGCAGCTTCTTTTTCGGAGGTTGAGATTTCCAAGCCCCTGATGCGGATCTCTCCCATTTTTTGGGGTCTGCTCACCTTTGCCCTATCGGACAGTACTTTCCTCAGTTTGTCCGCTAAGAGGTCAGCCTGCTTCTCTCTTTCCTCTCCTGGAATTTCCAGAACTAGTACTCCGGTAGCCAACTCTAGTTTTCATTTTTTCAATACCTATACCGGTTAGGTCGATTTTTTGTTTGGCCTCGGCTAGTAGTTCCTTATACCGGTCTTTGTCCGCGGTTATGGTAACCGCCGCCGTGTTTGGGACCTTTCGCCTGACTCTTTTCCCTTCCTTAATTCCCATATTTCCTTCTTTTCCAATCCTATTTGTTTCCTGCTTCTTCTGTTCTTTCTTTGCCTCCTTCCTTTCCCTTCTCCCCAACACTTTGGACCATAATTCCTGAACCACAGGTGCGGGTGTTTCCTCCTTATTGTTTCCCGGCATCGGGTGCCCTGCTCTCTGGGGTAGCGGGGCTTGGGTTTTCCGGTTGTCCTTTTCCTCATGGACTTGGACATTCGGTCGACCCCCCGATGCTTTTTCCATTCTTTTCCCTTTCTTGTTGCCCTTGCCTTTGTTCTTATTGCTGACGTTCCTTCCTGCCCCTTGATTGGGAGTTTCCTTCTCAGTTTTCTTTCCCTCTTCTTTCTTCCGTTCTCCATCCCTTTGTGATGCCCATTCGTTCAATATTCTGAGTACCACCTTGGTTACCTTCCCTTCCAATCCTTCGTCCTCACCTTTCCTAGCTTCCTCTATTCTTTCCACTCTCACTCTTGTGTTTAGTGGAATGTTCTCCCTGATTTTGGGGCCTGCACCCTCAGTCCTGGCGACCCTGGCTTCATTCTTTATTTTTCCCACCGGGTGTACCTTCCCTTTTGGAATCAGACCTTTTTGAATTTCTATTACTCCGATGGGTTCTTCCTCCTCTTCCATCATGTCCACTAGTGGGGGGGGGGTGATCCTTCCTCCCATGCTTCCCGTTTCCTCTTCCTTATCCTCTACGTAGGTCGGAGGCGAGGGGTATCCGCTACTGGCTGCGGTGCCCCCTTTACACTGCGACTCACGTTTCCCATGTGTTCCGGAGGTGAGGAGGACACCGCCACTGGCGGTGGTGCCTCCCTTATACTCCGTAACATATCCTTTAACTCGTCCAATTCCTTCTTAACATCATTTAGTGATGTTTTCAAATTGGCATTCTCCACCTTGAGCTCTTCAATTACGTCAAGGATTTCTCCACATTTATCCTTGGCCATATATCTAGCCATGTGCCCGCTGCAATGGCAGCCGCGGCATTACGGAGAACCTTGACATATGTCCCCTTCAAATTCTTGGACTTGACCGAGAAGCCCAAAATTTTCATGGCTGCCTCTAATACCAAGGCTGACAAATCCCTAAAGGGGGCATCCTCCAGATGCTCCATAAGCCTGGTGACTTCGGCCTTGTATTTCCGGTTCTGCGAGTAGTCCCGGAACTCCTCAATCGGATTTGCCATTTCTTTCAGGAGTTTTTCCTCTTTTATCTTAGCCAAGTAAGTGTTCTTCTTGGCAAGGAAGGCTTTCTTCTTGCGGTATTCTCCCGCAATTTCCGTCCTTCCTCTTCCTCTGGTGGCTTTCTGTATGAAGCGCTCTTCGTCCGTCTCGCCATCCTCGTTTCTGGGGGTATCCCATTTCCCCTCCGCGGCCCCCTCATTTTCATCCACCCCCTCCTTCAGTGAGGTGGAGTCGGACGCAGACCCAACTACTTCAACAGGGGATCTTGACCTGTCTCTGTTATCGGTCTTTCCTGCCCCTGAGGTTTTTTGGGACTTAGCGCTCCTAAGTCCCTCCCTCCTTGCCACCTGGCTACCGCCAGGTTGGTTCTTCGAAGCAGCAACTGTTGCTGCCCTCTGGTGAGAGCAATCTGAAGTTGCCACTCCGCCCATGTCCTTTGTCATTGCCAGGGTCGTCTTTGGTTGTTCCATGTCCGTTGGATCGTTTAATGAGGAAGAAGTATCAGTCATTTTGGTTTGATACCTACCACTCTGCACGGCTCCGGTGTCCGGACATGCCCGCATCCCCCCGGAAAGTGGGAGCCTCCGGGTTCCCCCAAAGGAGCGCCATATGGCACGGGCCGACGGAATGTATCATCGTCGGCACTGGCTTCCCCCCCCCTACACGCGCCCTGACCACCATTTCTGTTGGTCAGACCGCTTTCGGGGGTCACACACCTCCGACAATGTGGGCACTATGCAGAGCGCCGCCACGCGTGGGGCCCCATGGAAGGAGGTAGTTCACCGGTGTCGCACCCCACCGGGAACGCCTCCCCCATGGCAGCCAGCGTGCTCGCGCAGCCCGAGGGTCCGCTTTAGGCTGATGCGATCGCATTCCCTCGGGCACAGCACACAGGGGCCCCGGCCCTGCTTTGGAATATTTCCGAGCGGCCCGGAGTACCCTTCCACCCTCCGGATACTGTGAGGGGTTTCAAACCCTCACAGTGTGCAGATCCGGGTGTGGGTACCTCCCTCCGCCTGGCCGTGGCCGGGGCGGATGAGGGAGAGGAGCATCCCCTTTGGCTACTGGAGCACCGGCGTGCAATGCCTCCGGGAGTGAGTCCTCTAAATGGCGCTTGAGGGTGCCTCGACCCCGACCTCGGAATACGTCCGAGCGGCACGAGACACCCCTCCACCCCCCGGGTACCATGGGGTATCCCCATGGTGTGCAGACCCGGGTGTGGGTTCCTCTATCCGTACGGCCGAAACCGAACGGGTGAGGGAAGTCGGGGAGATCCACCTTCACCGAAGGTTGGGTCCTCTACCCTCATCACCCCAGGGTGCTCCGACCCTGACCTCGGAATAAGTCCGAGCGGCCCGAGATACCGCTCCTCCCCCCAGGTACCATGGGAATTATCCCATGGTGTGCAGACCCGGGTGTGGGATCTTCCCTCCGCACGGCCGTGACCGTGACAGATGAGAGAAGGAGGTCCTCTCTCTTTTCGGCTGCCGGAACACCGGCGTACAATGCCTCGGAGAGAGGGGTCCTCCTAGGACGTATAGAGGGCACCCCGACCCCGACCTCGGGAACGTCCGAGCGGTCCGGAGTACCCCTCCGCTACCCAGGCCCATGGGGGGAGGATCCCCATGGGGTGGAGTCCTGGGTGCGGGTACGTCCCTCCACCCCGATCTAACCATAACGGTCCGACCGAGGCAGGAGGAAAGGGTTCTCTCTTCACGGCTGCCGGAACACCGGCGTGCAATGCCTTGGAGGGAGAGGTCCCCTTCCTGGAGCGAGTGCAGAGGAGGCCATCCCTGTCAGCTGCCGGAATACCGGAGTGCAATGCCTTCAGGGGTGATCTCCTCTCGCCCGCTCTGTGACCATACTGGTCCAAGACCATCCTGGTCACCCAGCCCAGTCGGGTGCTCTTGGTCCAGTCCCTCAGTACAGACCACTCCGGCATGGTAGAACCTGCCAGGGGTCGAAACCCCCGCCGGCACAGCTCTGTACGTCATTGGGACCTTCAAGCCTCCCCACCACGTCAAGGTGGCACCCACGGGGAGGTGGTCATTCTATACTGCGACTTAAAGGTGATATAACGCTTTAGAAAAAGTTCTTTGACAGTTTTGTGTATAGTGAAGCCATTTGTGTGTTAGAGCGTTCCAAAATGGAGGTAAAAAAAAAGAAAATTCGATACATTCTGCAGTACCACTACGGCCAAAGGGAAAAAGCGGAGCAGGCGGCCAAAAAAATGTGTGCTGTTTATGGACCCAATACAGTATCGAATGCAACAGCAAAGCGGTGGTTCCAACGATTCTGTTCTGGTAATATGGACGTCGAAGATGAGACACGCTCTGGTAGGACAATCGTCGAAAATGTCGACAAAATCATGGAAATCGTCGAGTCGGACCGGCATGCGAGCACTTATTCCATTGCCCAGGAACTGAAAATTAGCCAGAAAACCATTTGGAACCATTTGTATAAGGCTGGTCTCAAGAAGAAGCTCGATGTATGGGTGCCACACGAATTGACGCAAAAGAACCTTTTGGACCGAATTCATGCCTGCGATTCTTTGCTGAAGCGTAACGAAATCGACCCATTTTTTAAGTGGATGGTGACTGGCGATGAAAAATGTATCACATACGAGAACAATAGGCGGAAAAGATCGTGGTTCAAACGCGGTGAGCCGGTCCAAACGATCGCCAAGCCCGGATTAACGGCCAAGAAGATTTTACTGTGTGTTTGGTGGGATTGGAAGGGAATCATCCATTATGAGCTGCTCTCATCGGGCCTATCACTCAATTCGGACCTACACTGTCAACAACTGACCAGATTGAAGCAGGCGATCGACGAGAAGCGGCCAGAATTGGCCAATAGGAAGGGTGTTGTGTTCCATCAAGACAATGCCAGGCCGCACACATCTTTGATGACGCGCCAGAAGCTCCGAGAGCTTGGATGGGAGATTATATCGCATCCGCCGTATAGCCCAGACCTGGCTCCAAGCGATTATCATCTTTTCAAGCATTTGCAAAATTTTCTTGATGGTACAAAACTGGCCTCAAGAGAGGCTTGTGAAAATGAGCTGGTCAAGTTTTTTACCAATAGGGACGAGGACTTCTTCAATCGCGGAATTATGAAATTGCCTTCAAAATGGACAAAAGTTATCGAATATAACGGCGCATATTTGATCTAAATCCGATAATCCTAATTTTTTTAATTTCATCGTCGAAATAAAGAGAAAAAACTCTCATAACTTTTTACTTCACCCAATATAATACGAAAAGTTAAGAAATTTGGGTCCATTGTATGGTCTAGTTATTTCCAAATCCAGAAAACAAAAAACGAGTGCCTTCCCGAATCGATTGAAATATTTGGTGATAGTGTAGAAGTATCATTACAGAGTCTCCTAAATCACACTGCCCTTAGATTTATGAAATTATTAAATTTTGATCTTAATAATTCTAAAAATTTGATAATGATATCTAAATGGGGCTGTGATGGAGCGTCTGATCAGTCTCGTTATAAAATAAATATTAATGATCCGTTAAAAGATGATTTTAATGTATTTATAAGTCTTGTGCCGATAAAAATTTATGTTTCCGAAAATAATGAAATATTATGGCAAAACAATTATCCTTCCTCTACTCGTTTTTGCAGGCCAATACAATTTAAATTTGTTAAAGAAGAAAAAATGAAGTCAAATCCTGCGTAAAAGACATTCAAAATGAAATATCTGCATTGACACCGTCTGTTTTGGGAGAAGGTACTTTTATGACGCATAAATTGTTGTTAACCGCGGTTGATAACAAAATATGCAATATTCTGACGGATATGAGTTCTATGAAATGTTACATATGCAACGCTTCTCCTAAACAGATGAATAATAATAATTTAGCTAAAACTAAAACAGTAAAAACAGAGCATTATTCTTTCAGATTGTCATCTTTACACTGTTAGATTAGATGTTTTGAATGTTTACTGCATATAGCATATAGACTAGATATTAAACGTTGGGCAATTAGTAATGAAGACGATAAAAAAATGGATCAAAGAAAGAAAAATATATTGGGTATTTGAATAAGTTCTCGCTGTTTCCTGACAGGTGGTGTTATCTTAGCCTTCTTGCATCGGGCAATACTACAGCCAACTTCATCGTGAAGCTCCACCATTAGGCTCGAAGTGACCTCCCCCGTGGACGCCATCTTGTCGTGGTGGGGGAGCTTGAGGGTCCCAGTGAAGTACAGAGCTGTGCCGGCGGGAATTTTGGCCCCTGGCAGGTCCTACCCTGCCGAAGTCTGTACAGAGGGATCGGACTAAGAGCGTCCATAACACTCCTGGATGGGCAGCTGCCTCCAGGAGTTACTCAGGGATTGGAGGGTCGCACTTGTGCGGCCCAAAGGTCCCTACAGCGCGGATAGAGCGGGATCGTTAGCCTTGGGTAGGCAGCCGGTCTAAGGGAAGGAAAACCCCGAATACAAATCCGTGTGTGTGGGGGCACATAAAGCCCCACATTTATGGAGCATGTCTAAGAAGAAGGGAAACGTCCCAGTACTCGGGAATTGGCGGGTAGGGTTGCATCGCCCCGGCACCCCCTCGTCGTCTTCAAGTGACGGGCTAGGTGGCGCGTGCCAGGCGGGCGCGCCACTAGAACTGGCGACCACCCGAAGGGAGATGCCTGAAGAGAAACCGGGGATGAGTCGGTATGACTCGCCCCTGGCCTCTCCGAGGGCACTTAAAAGGAGGAAGAGGAAGGCGGAGATGTCCTCCTTCCAACTATGGAAGGACAGGGAGGTGCATTTCTCTCCGCTCGGGGACGGTAACGTCTCTCGGGCGGGGAGAGTGCAGCTCCCTGCGTACACGAAGGTGGGGCGGTTGACCTATCTGCCTCGCAGGTATGGGAGCGGCACTTCCCGGGGGAGGAGTTTCCTCTGATCGAGGGCGATTATGCCTCTGTGGCCGGGGAAGCTCCTTTCTAGAACGCGCAGGAGGGGAGTGTCGAAGAGGGCCGTAAGCGGCATTAGTGGGGGCTTGCGCCCGTGCGGCTTCTGCCCACACGGATGGGCAGATCCCTGGCCACCGAGGCTTTTGCAAGTATTAACTACCTGCGGGAGCTGCGGGTCGAACCGGGAAGGAAGGCAGTGGGGTGTTATATCGGGAAGCTCCTCGCTAGCCTCAACCAGTTGGCCAACGACTGCCTCCATGACGTGGAGGAAGCGTTAGCTGACTATGAGAGGTTGGTGGAGGAAGGTGGGCCGGATGGACGTCTTGGGGCTCTGGAAATTCAAGTTTGAGGCCTCAAGACGGAAATCGCCCGCATAGGGCGGATACTGGAGAGGGTTCTTCCCTCTTCAGTGACCGCAGCTGCGGGCAGCGAGCGCACCCTCCTCCCCTGTCCTTCGCGGCAATCAGCGGTCGCTAGGGGGAGACGCGAAGGCGGCCGTGTCCTCCCGTAAAGGCAAGGGGAAAGGGCCTCGACCCGGACCCCCACTGCTCAAAGGAGGTTTCATCACAGTATTGCCACGAGTTTGTGTCGTCAGACGAATTAGCTCCTATGTGGCGAGCACCTCAGGGTGTTGGTCGCACTCAGCAAAACCGATCGCGCTAGATTTGGCAGCCGTCGGGGTGCGGTGTGCGTTCCGAATCTACTTCACGAATCTAGTCAAGTGATCGAGGAAAGAGGCCTCGCTCGTCACTTGCAATGCACATAAAATCCATGACAAAGTATCGTGAGATACACGAAATACGATTTCCCGACGTGGCTGGTCGCAATGTTGAACTAGCGTCGGGAAATGCACGAAACGGTGGTATACAAGCGAAGAGGTATCAGAAAGAACACACGGGTAGCAAAATGCCTCGTCACCTGATCAGTGACGCAAAAGGGATAAACTAGATTTATACCCATCATTCCCATATAGAGGAAGAGTAAACTTCGAACAATTGAACGACCAATGGCACAAGTTGCAAAATAATGGCTCAAATTGTAAAGCATGGCGAAACAAAGGCTTAAATATGATGGCTCAAATGGAATTGCTCAAACACTTCACAATGAAGATGTTATAAGGAAACCGCAAATCTAAGCAAAACTAAGCTATATAGCATCCAAGGAAGAAAGACAGGAAGGCGGGGTCTGGTCTACAAGAGCTTGCCTGCCGTAGCCGGACATTCTACCAGTTGTCTCTAGGCATGCGTACATACGGAGGAGGAATTAAAGTCGTAGGCTCGAAGAGATATGGTGGACCCTAACGAAGAGGCAGTTACCCACACCTTTCTCGGGAAGCCGCAGCCAGCCTCCGTATGTGCGTAAGAGACAACTGAAGGGCGCAAGAGCCAAGGAAGCGGAGAGGTAACCCGCGACCTAGCTCGAGCGCCATGGGATTAACGTTCCACAGTGACGTTTCTCATTCAGGTATTTAATGATACCTGCCTTCCATATCATACCAAATTCGTATGTAAATTTGTACACAATATCAAATATAGCTAATATACATGAGCAATACATTCCTGTCAAAGAGCCTCGTTAGAAATGAAAAGCAACACGCCGCAATTGGACTTAGAAAATAAACTCTGACTCTGAATCAAAGGCACCCCTTGCTACCCAAAAATATTTGAACGAGCTTGCAAGGAGTCATCACACAAATGATGATCTCCACGGCAAGCGAAAGTCTATATTCGGGCTGAATAACTAAGTGGGGAATGATACGTCTGACCTTGAAGTATTCAGCAAAAAAGCATGGCAATAAACGACGGAGCGTGTAAACACTGACGTCTTAGGGCAAAGCACACGTGCGTTGATTGAAACCTAGTACACCACACCAAATGGAGATAAGAGCTGAGATCTCCAAGTGTACAGCACGTGTGCATCGAACGAAGTCCAAAAAGACGAAAATCCCACATGGCAGGGGCTCTCAGATTGAGAAAGTAAAGTAAAATGCCCCATGGCACGACGAGCAGTCAAGCGTCCGAAATAGCAAATGATGCTGTGGACGTCAAAGAACTCACCAAAGCAGAGAAGCGAATCTGGGGACGACCGGTTTCGGCTGGCGTCCTACGGACCGCTATTGCCATGCGTGACATGGAACGGGGCGACCTGGGCATTGTCCTGGGGCCCCGAGTCACGTTATGGACTCTGGTATATGTGCGGCACTTGCACGAGTGATGAAACTGACGCCCAACGCAGCAAACTAGGACAGCGAAGAGTGTTCAAGCAGAGAAGCGAATCTGGGGACGATCGGTTTCGGCTGGCGTCTTGCGGACCGCAATTGCCATGCGTGACATGAAACGGGGCGACTTGGGCATTGTCCGGGCGCCCCAAGTCACGTTATGGACTCTGCTATGTGAGTGGTACTCGCACGAGTGAATTGACGCCCAACGCAGCAAACAAATAAATGCTATAATTGGAAGACAGCGGAACGTGCTCAAACAGAGAAGCGAATCTGGGGACGATCGGTTTCGGCTGGCGTCCTGCGGATCGCAATTGCTATGCGTGACATGGAACGGGGCGACCTGGGCATTGTCCGGGCGCCCTAAGTCACGTTATGGACTCTGTCAGGTGTGTCGGTACATCCACGTACACACTACATGTTCGAGCAGTCAAGCGCCCAAAAATAGCAAACGATGCTGTGGACGCTAAATTCACCAAAAAGCAGAGAAGCGAATTTGGGGACGATCGGTTTCGGCTGGCGTCCTGCGGACCGCTATTGCCATGCGTGACATGGAACGGGGCGACCTGGGCATTGTCCGGGCGCCCCAAGTCACGTTATGGACTCTGCCAGGTGTACCGGGACATCCATGGGACTCATGCGAGAGCCCTATTAAAGCCAACAAGGAAATCGTTAATAAAGACACTGCCCGGGTAGATGAAGGTAGACACACGCTCTGTTGAAACGGGAGTCGCGATGCGAAATCCAAGTCGTCCCATTGCGATGCAACGAACCTGATTGTCTCGGCCTGGGAAACCGAACCAACAGGGGTAGCGACTGGAAAAGACGAATCACCGAGATAGGGAAAATACCAAAATCGAACAGGCAAACAGCGTTGTAGACCGTTCTAGGCACAACGCTGGGACCGGATATATACCACCTACACTCGTGAAGTTGAACAAGTCCCAAGGCTAACGTTCGGGTCGCTCCGAAGGCTGAATGACTGTGGGGACGGTAAATATGCACAGTCGCTAGCGACCCCCCGGGAAGACTACGGTTGACTCGCGGTTGAACGATATCTCAAGCTACGGCGAAGGAAGCGCGCCTAGGGCTGAATGGCTGTGGAGATGATAAAAATCACAGTCTAAAGCGCTCCCCCAGAGGACCTGTCGACCCCTCTGCGGTATCCCAGACTTGGTAGCAGTCTTCATACTGCTGGTCAGGCTAAGGCTGACTGCTTGGCCAGGGATCTCCAGGACGTGTTATGCCGTGGTCGCCAGACCGACGAGGCGGAGCTCAGTCCGCCTCGTCGGTCTGAACGACTTCGTCACCCCTTTAATGGTGAGGGCCGTCATTCTGAATGCGACAAGGTGCCCTCCGGTTGACCTGCAGACTGGGGAAATCAGGAGGTCGTCCAGAGGACTAGGGGCAATTTGGGTAAGGTGCCCATTGGCACCTGCCCAGAAAATCATATCAGCTGGGGGACTCACGGTGGGGTGGTCAAGGGCGCGGGTAAAAATACTGGAGGTACGGCCCCTCCAGTGTTATCGCTGCTTAAAATTCGGTCGCATGGCAGTTGCCTGCCGGTCCGAAGTGGGACTGGGGGTCACTGTTTTAGGTGTGGAGAGACCGGACATGTGGCACAGGGATGCACTGCAGAAGTGCGGTGCCCCCTGTGCCACAGTGAGGAGAAAGATGCCGGCCACCGTATGGGTGCCGTGTGTGCAGAGCGATCCCCCGGACTGCTCACAGAGGAGGAGTTCCTCCCCGTCGTAAGAGGAAAAGGAAGGGGGAGGGAAAGGCGGCGCGCGGGAGGTTGGGACTGTAGCAGTGCAGCCCCAGCCCACCTGCGGTGCTGCCGACAAAGGAATTACAGGGACTTCGGTCATTGTTGTGGCCCAAACGGCTAAAGAGGCAGAGAAGGGGTGGTGGAGGCTGAGGTAATTCAGCCTCCACCACCCACAGATCCCGCAGGACCGGACAAAGGTGGAGTGACGGCCGCTCTACCCGCACCAGACTCACCATCGGCGAGTAGACCGATGGGGTTCCTCGAGGTGGAGGAGACAATGGAGATCGAGGCGTCGGCTGCTCTCCTAGCGGAGGCGGGATGGGAGAAATGGGGGGGATAAGAGCGGAGAGCTCTCCCCATACATTCCCTCCTTTTCCCGAACGCACGGCGTCCCGTCGCCACATAGTACGCCCTCCTTCTTTCATAGTGGATCCCCCTTCTGCGTGTTGCAAAAACGTGTCCAAGCGCCCGGGGGCAGCCAAAATATGGCATCGACCTCGGGGCTTATTTATGTGATTTGCACCGGA